CTGAATAAAAGTTGATGAGTATCGTTTTCCAAGAAAGAGATTCATCGACAACGGATGGTTCATTTCTCATCAAGTTTGCTTCCTTCTGGGGTCTAACTGCCTTGATGTTTTGCAAGTGCCGACCCACTTACTTGTCCTTCTAACCCAACTCGTCCATTGCTTGTCTCCAACATGACAACGGGATAAACCTTTGTGGAACAAAATCTCAGGAGGAGCACTGTTTTTTGAGTTACATACTATGTTTCTATTACAGGTACATATTCGTAGACCGGAAATGAGTCATCATTCTTTACGCATGCGAGAGGATAGTCTATTTAGTTAATGGTGTTAGATAAGAAGCGCAAGGGTATTGAGATACAAGGAATGGTGAAGCGTAGAGACGGAAGATAAATGGAAGAAAGGAAACAATTAGAAAATCAAGATTTGTGAGGGAGATGAGGGCAGCGTGGCTGACTGGCAGCTGACCTAAAGGCACGGTCCACGATAAGAAGCGTACGTTAGTGTTGAAATATAGAAGAGAAATTGTCGTCTCGACTAGAAGGGAAAAAATGTCAAAGAAAACATCGGCAGCGCCCCCTTCAGCCTCAAAAATTTGCATGGGTTAAATGCCAAAGGATCGCGTGCTGAGGCGATTTCAACCTGCTGATTCTTTGTAAGGAGCCCTACGACGCCACAAGAGACAATGAGGCATCCATTTCATGCCTCTTGTCCGGTGGCATCGCTTATGGCCGGAAGGCGGCTTCCAAGGCGAGGACGGGGAGCCGGGCCACTGGAGAAAGGGAGGTGTCACTGAAGCAACCTTACGCCTCATATCCTTTGATTACGGACTTTCCGCCGCACGAACTGCAACGCGGGGTTATCCATTGTTTTGCGGACCGCACTACCTTCCCCATAAAATCTTCTACAATTTCATATGTCATGGCAGACCGTTCCTTCGAGAGTGAGTTGCAGAGTAACAATTAAGTGGGAACGAAGGACTGATAAAGGGATCATGCAATGTACGGGGAATTTATACCTGAACAAAACAGGAGTGTAAAGGAAAGGATGAGAAGAGAAGAGAGAGAGAGAGAGAGAGAGAGAACGTAGGGTACGGCAATGAAAATGCAGCAAAAAGGGTATGAAGTTGCAGAGTGTCAGAAATCACTTGCTTTTCACCTTCTTCGGTGATTGGTGGTGGGATGCTAATAAAGACTCTTCAGATAAGACCGTAGGCGACTGTATTTCAATTCGCTACCATTAATTATTTCTTTCTCCTTATTTATCCAGGGGTGCGCCATGCCTATGAAGGACAAAACAAAAAATTCCACCTGTGGCACAATGAAGAATGAGGCGGAAACAACGAATAATATAAAGACTGACAAAAAAGTAAAAGTGGCTCATAGGTTCACACTTAGGTGCAATTTCAAGAAGTTCAGGACCTTCTTTGCGTAAACGGGGAGGTCGCTTTTCCCACTGGGTAGATAAACGAAGTCCGCCCGCGAGATGCTGGCCCTGGGTTGTGAATGTAAAAATACGAGACTATAGTACTGAGACTTGCTGACAACTTCGCTCGTTACGAAAAAATCCCTATTTTTGCAGTTTATTTAAACGCGATTGTGCATTTGAATTTGTGAAGATGGTAAGCCGCGCGAAGCTTGCCAGTACTCTTCAGAAAGTTATTGCCAGCCCCGTGCCCGGTTGGTAGAAACAGGCAATGAGAGAAGCTGGAATTAGTTTGAGGAATAGCTGTGGCTGGCAAACGAACGGTAAGGTGGGGCACATTTTGTCTATTTGGGGTGGCAGAACTTGGTAACCACAGAAGCTCAGGCGACCATGTGTTGCTTAATCTATGTTCCTAAACAAGCAACTCTATTGCACTTACCTTTTCATAGCTAGAGCTGGGAGCAGTGAATTAGCCCGTAGCTCCGCCTATGAAGCGCATCGCCAGAAGTTCATAACCTGGAAGGAAGTGCTGAGCCAACTAGTCGCCCATCTCTCTAATGAGGGGGCTGTTTAATTGACATCGGAACTTCGCGTGAGAGATATCACCTGACGTCGTGGGTCGGCTGACGCCAGGCGGCACTCTGTAGGCTTCATTTTATCAAGCGCTTCTGTGATGGAAGAGCGGCCGGAGCATAGCATTCGGAGCATTTACAGAAAACATCTGATCAATGAAAACGCGAACACTTTATCCTTTATGCAGAGAGATTTATAGGAGAAAAGTGTTTGAAATACTGCAAAACAGATTTCTTTTGCAGGATATCCTTGTCCGAAAATGCCACATCGCCAAGTTTAACACAACCAACCCCATCGACAACTGAACGCTCATCAGAAGTTTTACTGCAAAGGAAACCTCGAGGTGAGCTGAGCTATGATTTGGCTACCATAGTCACCATGCGGATGGTTAGAGGCACAACGGCTAGCAAAGTGTCCGTACGACGGCTAGCAAAGTGTCCAATTCTTTTCTCAAGTAGGTAATCTGGGCTCGTAACTGCAAAGGCAGGCCCTTCTTTCGTGGTTGTAAAAATGTGGCATGAAACTGGGATTGTAAGGCTTGTTGCCCAGACCCTGGAGGTCCATTATGGCTTGTTTGCCCGGTCATCGGTGAGTAGCCGTTGTGTATCGGCTCCATCCTCTTTTCAGCGGTCCATCAAAATTGCACCCTGTTCCCGTCTCTTATTGATTTCGACATTCATCATGCTTTAAGGTTTCTCCAGCTTTTTCCTCTCCTACTCAAGGCCGACTGTTTCTTTTTGTGCCCCGCTGCCAACTAACTGCAGTCGCGGAATTTGCCTTTTATTATTATGTGCGAGTAAAATTGCGAATTTGTATGTGTTATTCCTGCGCTTCTTCTCTTTTCATCTAGCTGGGTGTATATAGTGCAGAGTTGGATGAAGTTGTCTTTGTGAAGTGTGTATCAACGCCTTGTGTTCATATCTATTGGCTTCATCTCATGCTTATCTGCCATCTCCAACTGCCGCGCTGGCTCCGCTCAGCTTGACTGCTTGACTGGCGGCTGACCAGGGAACTTCGCTGATGGAGCACACACTCAACCAATGTTGGGATGGACCTCACTCTTTGAGAAATAGGCGCCTTTCTAGCTGCCCCAATCTCTCCGATTTCTCGAAAATAATCTCATTGTCAGGCAGAACTTTCTCTGGCGGCGTGAGGAACTCAAAGGTCCATTCAATCCTTCTCATATTTGCAATAGGGTGAACCCCTTTGTGACTCATTCTGTCACAAGTACATTGACGTGTTTGAGAAAATCCTCTTGTAGGACAGCACGTGAGTTGGATAGATGGGGTATGTATGTGTGTCATAGCTTGGCGTCCGAGAGCATATTCTGATAGGTAAAACTGTTGTATAAGTTCAAAGGGTAAGTAGTATGTAGTACTGCAGAAGAGAGATCGTATCACGTTGTCCATTTGAAAGAGTACTAGAGGCCCCACCTACAGATGAACGGCATTGCGTCCGTGTGTGATCGGAATCGCTGGGATTAAAGGCAGCGCCCACATTCATTTGATGTTCCCGCGCCCTCTCTGGATATCATAGCCCTCCCTATGAGGATGCAGTATGTACTAGTTTTGCATCTCAAAAAGGCGAAAGGATAGCGCCGTTCGCTAGTGAAGAGTCGGCCGCCCGCCCACCTGGCCAGCATAGGGTTCTATATAGGGCATTTTCCATGATTTTTTCTGCTTTTTTCTTCACTACTGGATCACGTATTATATGAGCTCCATAACTCATTATTCTTGAAAGCGGGCTCAGCCTTTAAAGGCTAAGCCAAAGCAGTTATGGCAGCCAGGTGGGCGGGGCGGCATGGGTACGGCAGCCAGGTGGCGGGCGCATCCTCTTCACAAGCGGGTGGCGCCATCCTCTCGTATTTTTGAGCTGCGAAATTAGTACATCCTCCACCCTTGTCGACAAAGCTACGATATCTAAGGAGGGCGTAGGAACATCAATGAACGCGGGCGCTGCCTTTAAAGAGGCGTGGCTGCGTGCTCCAACTTGCGTGGCAGCGGCTGTCCTTTTGGAGAGATATTTTCATTTTGGCACAATTGTGGTCGCGTCTTCGTCCAACAGAGAACAAGATGACAGTTGTCTCGAATTGAAATGTCCCACGAGTAACTCATTCTATGCCATGTTCAAATGCCACGCCTACTTCTTCTCGGGGTAAGTTTTTCCTAGCCAGTTGACACGTTGAATAAGTATGTAGCTCCTAGCAAGAGTGCCGCTTACGTTATCCCGCTTGCAACACCTTCCTACCGTCCTTGCCGCAACGTGTAGGCAGGGTACAGCATCGTGACGTGTGAAATGATGGTGTCAGTACGACTCCTCCTCCGGAAAAGGATCCTGGTACGACTCCCCCACCCACCTAAAACAGGGTCTCGGTACGACCCCCCCCCCTCTGCCCCAACACCTACCTACCAATTTCCCACATTTTCCAGTTTTTCACCTAGAGAGTCTCCGTTGAGCGGAAGGGGGGAGGGGGCTACTAGTACGCGGAAACATGAACGATCACGCGAAAAGTCAACAATGTGGGAAAATTTTAAAAACAAAAACAATTTTCAGATTTTTTCCCAACGCAGCAATTTTCTCTCGAAGGCACTTCCCCCCTCTCCCAACAACCATTCGACCCTCCCCCTCCTCAGCGGAAAAGTGCGATCCCCTGTGTGTCTCACACAACGATGCTGTACCCTGCGTGTGAGTGAGGTCCGCCACTACGGTTTCGAAAACCTACAGCGATGGAGATTTCGATCAATTTCGTGCACAAAATCGCGGATATTCCTGAAAGAAACCGTTAAAAATATCCTCTTTCTGCACATTCCCTTCTTATTTGGTGGTACTTTTTGCAGAGTATTCGATTGCAGAATAATAAAGCGATCATAAATGGTGTAACTATGTCCCCGGCTTCACGTAGCAACAACCTAACCGCTCAATGAAATCGATGGTAAAGCCGTAAGTTACAGTGGTGGTCGGCTGGCTCGCGCGCAACGAACTTTGTGGCGCCAGGCATTCGTGCAATGGTAACAGCTTACTGTTGCTGCGGCATCGCTGCAAGGAACGTGATTCTTGTGGCCTATGCGGCTTATCATGAGCATCAACATGAAATGGTTCAGGTAGTTAGGAGTTATGACTTTGATTTCTCATACAATAAATTCATAATCTTCAAAGAGTTATGACTTTGATTTCTCATACAATAAATTCATTATCTTCACCGCTTTTGGGCCGAAAAGCCCAAGTACTGGTGAGTAGAGTGGAACGCCACTCACCAGTACTTGGGCTTTTTGGCCCAAAAGCGGTGACTCCGTTCCCCCGCCTCCTTGATATGGGGTGGAGGTGCAGGAGAAGGTTCTAAGAAAACAATGTGTAGCGAATATCACCTGTTTCCGTGAAGGATTCACTCTTACTTTTCTGATTAGGCGCAAGTTCTACTGCTAGGTGAACGGTGCATTTTGAAGGGGAGCGTTGCGCCAATGGGATGGGCGCTACAAGTGATAAGCCCTACAGCGCCTTTCCCGAGAAGCAATTACTAGGCCTGCTTGTAAAAATCGTGGCCCGGTAGGACTTCAACCCGTCTTAAATTCATCCTTCTTGTGAATCATAGTGAAGCACGTTTCAAAACCTAAAGCCTTGAAAACTTGTGAAACGTAATGCCTTCTCGCGCCTCACTGTCAAGATGAACTGGTCCACTCACTACATTGAAGGTGAGTGGTCTAAAAATATGGCACAAAAGCCATGAAAGTGAAAGGTAAGAGGAGCCTCTGGTAGCGTAACAGGTAGCGCACTCGCCTGGCAAACGAGAGGTGTAGGTTCGTGTCCAGCCTAAGGTCAAAACTTTCGTTAACACAGCATTCTTTTGGCACTCCAAGTGTTGAGTTTCAGTTACTCGGTCCACCACAAACCATAGTACCAGTGGCAATAGGACGTCCAGCAGCTGCACAGAATGGTGTTCCTCAGATGGCTGTTCCACTCACGGAGCCGTTACTAGTTCATCGCAGTCTTTGTGGTGTCGTGCGTACACCAACGAAGATTCAGTTTGCTATTGGTGATCTCGCCGTTACGATTCCTATTGTACCCCTAGAAATGAGGTAGGGTAGTACGAAATTGATAGCGCTTCTATTTTTCCTTTAATTGTTGAGAAGTGTTTAGCGGTTTGGCGGGAGGGCTCAAACGTACTATGGAGCGACCAACATCAACACCTCTTGACCTTTCTAAACGACGAAGAGAACCGGAGTCAGGCAGTTCGGGTTCAACAACACCGACCAATATTGTCAGGGTGAGTTTAACATAGC